CCGGTCATTGCTGCAAATTTATCTGCACTAGCTAAAACAACCACTACTCATGGCTGCCTCTGAGATTAAGGCGCCATAACACAATGCCCTACTACCGTAACCGACATTCGAAAACAAAGTCGCTCTTAGGAGCATCCTCCCCGAGCGCCCGGCACGTGATATGACATAGTTCTCGATAATGCTACGCGACACTGCACATTGATAATGTATTGGAATAGTGATGCTTGTCTATTACAGACTGATAGTCATTGAGGCTGCCTGCAACAGAGTTGGACCATGACATTTTAAATACACTCGAATCGTCTCACAATCAGGAAAGATCGATGGCACCGGTGATTAGTGCCGCACTTTGATACTCACAAGACGTCTTAGTGATACACAAAATATGCTGTGTGATCTATTTGGAGTTCATTTTAAAAACAAGGTGTAGACTGCGTTCCTGAGTATGCAGGAACCGTCAACGGTAAAAACAGAAAACCTTAAAAGCATGAAAATAAAACAAGATGCTTTTATAAAATAGAGACAAAAAGTGCAAGTTTGCAGACCATTTCTGACTTTTAAAACAAAACTAATAATATTACTATTCCCAAAGTTTGTATGACACAGTCAATCAAGTCAAAGTCCTGTCCTATGTAAAGTAACTTCGGGCTACGTTCCGTGCTGGTAAGTGTGGCAACCTCACGCATTTTCCCCTTTTCAATATAGGTTCAAAGACTTCAACCGTTGCGTTTCGACACACGCTGTAGTTGCATTTACGGAGTTCAGATGCGTCGGCGAACTCATCCAAAAAAATAGGTATAAACGGATGTCAACGACGTCAGTAGGGGGTGTCACTGGAGAGCGGCTTAGTAGGCTTGAAAAATAGTCAACCTAATCAGTTTTGGCAGGAAATAAACTACACTCTCATCGCACCGTCTTACAAGATGACAGGACTGAACTAGGTTCCAAGGAAAAATAAGCGGACGCGGAAGTGTGAGGGTAAATAGAAAACAAAAATATGGATGGACCTACCTTTAACATCAACAAGAATAAAGGTGACGTCCCTCCCCAAAGTATTGGAAACACTACAAGCATATAGTCCATTGTGTTTAGGTTCAAGTTCCGAAAATCGCAGAGTGTCGCTCTGCACGCCGTCCTCGGCTGCAAATTTGACATTTGTCCATTGAAGAGCATCAATATCAAGTGGTTTAAGGTTCCGAAAGGCGTCGTTTATCGCTGTTTTGTCATCCGATTGGGCTACATCGATAGGATGGAAGCTCCAATTGACGTTAGGAGGAAGGGGCCAAACAGATACTTTGCAGGAGAGACGCAGAGGATCTCCTTGAAGGACGCGCTTCGGTTTCGAGTAAATCGGTAAGATTGGTGCGGCTGGCAAAAAAAACATGGTTATGCCAATTTTACACATAGTACATGAAAATAAGCAAAACCAAAATATGTATAACTGAAAATGTGTTCCTTTTCAGCGTTTTTGGAAAGAATAAAAACTTAACGAAGTTATGGGAGCGCGGGACGTGGATACGAAAACTTCTTAATTACATGTCTATATTTTGTGGCATGAAAACTCTGAATTTACGACAAAATCAAACTTAGCGTGAAACAGCCAAAATTAAAGAATACACGAAATATAATAAAATGGGGCGTATGTGGCGGCCAAGAACATACAATTTATGCTAGCCTTTCCACTGGCACTGTTCCCACTTTGCGTTGCGGTCAACGTATATTCGCCCGGAAGGATGCCTGAAAAGAAAGGTTGGGGCAAAATAGAACATACCGCTGTCCTTCAGATGCAACTCCACACTTGCCTTTTGTGCAGCGGTATCGTAGTTCTTTACGGCGTACAGGGTGGCCCGGCTGCTCTGGTCCTGAAGCGTCAAAGCTTCGCCGTTTAAAAGCCACGTAAGGGAGAAGTCCGGACCTTGTAAGCCAGCGACGACGAACGAAAGTACCAGATGAACCGAGGAATTACGATTTCGCTTCTCAAATTCAATATTTTCATACTGAAGCAGGGAGGTATAAGTCGGTAGGACTTCCTCGGGTTTTCGCACATCGACTAATACAGTTTTTAATGACAAAATAAAATACCTGTTATTGCATTGGCTATGACGATGGATGATACAAGAAGAGTGATCTTGAGCAAAAAAGCCATCACCTTGAGCGGCAAAGGGTAACAAGAATTATATAGTACTGTAACGTCGGGCGTTACAATGTATGTGTGTGAATGCACCTACGCAGGCGGAAAACACAGAAATTTAGCGACAGAAAACGGAACACAGAAGTAAAGTCTAAGACGCAGAATATATTATTAAATTATATTAGGAATTCATGTTGGCAAACATATGTTTTCGGCAATTCATCAGCCGGCCAGTACAATGCAAGGACAGAAATGGTCAGTTATAGGTAGTGTAGTTATTAAATGGTTCTCGAGGTAGGGGGAGGGGGTGGGGGTTTAATTAGTCATCATGGTGTTCCCTCGTCTCACGCATGCGGGTTCTAGCCTATTGGTGTCTTTGGGTCCGGCAAGCAGGGAAGAGGGGTGTCCTCAGTGTCGCCGACACTGAGAACAAACCGGAATTAACTATAATGCAGGAAATAATACAAGAATAGCTTTCCTGGATTTACAATGGACAGAGAAGTGACTATTTTTAAATGAAGAATAAAGAAATTCCGCCGAAGTCTGATCTCCAAAAACACCGACTGCATATTGATATGCATCCCAAATAAGTAAGCACAGGAGGTATCTGATGCTCCAGTCACTAATCGTGATCACTGTTTTTATTTGCTGTTTTTTACTCAATAAAAAATGTTGTTTATCGACTTCGGCATTTCACAAACTTTCTGAGCTTTGAATAAGAGATAAAATGCTGGCAGGGATCAAGAAACACAACCCAATTAGTCACCAGCTTATAAATGTCGACTAGAAACGCTCAGGCTTTTTTCTCTTTATTATAGGCAATACAGACGAAATATAATCATGGTGTTCAAACTCGTGAGGGTCCTTGAAACACATGGCCCCGCCGTGAGGGTGCGGCTCAGAAGGGGCTAGGAGGGGATGACCCC